TATTCTGCAGAGTGCCCAGTTGTGCCCGTTGTAATTCTATCAGGTGGCCTTCTGCATATTGCCCATGTGTGCCCGTTGTAATACTATCAGGTGGTCTCCTGCATATTGCCCATGTGTGCCCGTTGTAATACTATCAGGTGGTCTCCTGCATATTGCCCATTGTAATACTATCAGGTGGTCTCCTGCATATTGCCCATGTGTGCCCGTTGTAATACTATCAGGTGGTCTTCTGCATATTGCCCATGTGTGCCCGTTGTAATACTATCAGGTGGTCTTCTGCATATTGCTCATGTGTGCGTGACTTCTTGTCTTCTTGCACCCAGCCCATAATTCCCATGCATTGCCCGTTGTAATACTATCAGGTGGTCTCCTGCATATTGCCCATGTGTGCCCGTTGTAATACTATCAGGTGGTCTCCTGCATATTGCCCATGTGTGCCCGTTGTAATACTATCAGGTGGTCTTCTGCATATTGCTCATGTGTGCCCGTTGTAATACTATCAGGTGGTCTCCTGCATATTGCCCATGTGTGCCCGTTGTAATACTATCAGGTGGTCTCCTGCATATTGCCCATGTGTGCCCGTTGTAATACTATCAGGTGGCCTTCTGCATCCTTGCACTCAGGCAATAATATCAATGCATGCCCACTGTAATACTATCAGGGGCCCCCTGTGTCCTTGCACCCAGCCCATAATACCCATGCATGCCCACTGTAATACTATCAAGTAGCCTTCTGCATTCAGCGCATAATACCCATCAATGCCCGCTGTAATACTATCAGGGGGTCTCCTGAGTCTGTGCACCCGCACAATAATGCCCATGCATGTCCGCTCTAATACGATCAGGTAGCCTCCTGTGCCTGGGCAACCGCACAATAATGCCCATGCAAACCTCTGACATGCACATTGATCATTATTATTAGGGATGTCCCGATACCGATACTAGTACCAGGCATTTTCATGATTACTTGCACTTGTGAAAACGCTCCGATTGTTAAGGCCAATACCGGCCCTTTAAATTTTCAAAAAGCAGCGGCCGTCCGAGTTCACGCGCTTGTGGGCACCTCGGCAGCCTGCTGGGGATCTGCAGATAGCTGTCCATGGCAGCGCCTGTCCGGTTCTTTATCTCATCAGGCTGCGGGGACACGTGCTCAGGCTGCGGGGACATCCGTATTTAGCCCTGGTGAGAAACTGCCTTAAAATCATCAGTCTGTGTTGTTTTAGAAAAAAAGTCACATGTCCCTTTAAGAAAAAGTATCGGTAATTGGTATCGGCAAGTACCTGGGGGACAGTACTTGGTCTTTAAAAAGTGGTATCGGGACATCCCTAGTTATCACCAACGTGGGGACTGCTATGATTTTTGCCTTCATTCTGATACTTGCATAAGCCCGACCACAACAACTGGTTCTCTTCAAAGCGGGCCGTCACTCCAAAATTAAACCTTTCACCATTCTGATTCCCCCTCCACTGTCCCCATTGGAAAAACGGGGGGGGGGGGGGAGAGAAGAGAAGAGCGCCAC